GAAATGCAATTTTTATAAAATTACAAAAACAAAATTTTTTGCCCACTGGTCTGTTTTGCTATGGGGGTCCCCATATGAAAAACAAGTAAAGCCTATTGCTAGTAGCGTATATTTCATATTAGTTATATATACAGTTTTAGTTTGAGTATTCTTTGTAAAATACTACTTTTAATACCTATTAAAAATTTCAGATTCATTTGGATCTTTTTTATAGAACACTACTTGTATTTATAATTAATATTGTGTTACTGGATAATGAACAAGTTCAGTAACTGAGATTTTTTTTTTAATGATGATAACCCCAATATAAACTATCTCAACCTTAACTATATACTGTGTGTTATCAGAATACTAAGTAAGTTTTGAGTTTTATTATTTAAAAAAAGCACTTTAAATGGGTTATTAATAACAGAAAAAAACAATATCAGAGGGTTAATCAGAGGTTTGATCAGTGGCTATAAACTCTTTACTTCAAAGATTCTTAAAAAAGAATTGATCTAATTTAAAAAAGATAAAGAGATCTTTTTGTATAGTAGAATAATATTTATCAAGCATCTGCAAGTTTTGATGAATTAATAATAGATGCTGTTGAAACAACTGTAATCATGGATATTACATTAAAGATAAATAGAATAAAATAACAAATGCAATTGAAAATACTATCAAATCAAAAAAAAAACTAGAAAAATTGAAAAATAAAGAGGTTCAGGAAGTAAAAGAGTATTTTAAAAAGTTTACAAATAAAATGGTAAACAGTTCTGCCTCTGGTGATTATATGTTATTTAAATAAACTACTCCTATATACAGTGTTGTCACTCAAACAACTCAGGTAACATTTAAACAGAATTTACCACCAAATTTTATTATAATAACCCACTTTAATTATTGTTACAGATAATCATAAAATCTGAATTATTGTAAAATTCTAATTTTTAAAATTTTTTGGGATATATTTTTTTAGGCTTTTTTTTGAATCTGGACTAGTATTTAGAGTTAGAGTTTATAATAAAAAAGTATAAATAGGTTTTGTTAAGATTATAAGTACTTATATTTTTAAATTAAAGTTCTAGATTTCACGATGATCTGATTTCACATGATTATTAATTAATTGATAAATCATTTTTAAAGGGAACAAGCAAACAATAATAAATCTTATAATAAACAAAATCAGAAATTTATATATTTTTTCTATAGTACAAGAATGTGGCTTGCTTACATATAAAAGTATTTTTTTTTATTAAGTAACTTTTTTTTTGCTTTAATAAAAGTTGTAGAGCTAATTTTTCTGATTTTAATGGTGGTAAAATCATCAAAATCAGGCAAATAGATCATGAGATATGAGTATTTTTTAATTATTTACTATAGAGTTTTTTCTTAGGAATTGAAGTACACGGCATTCCACTTACTATATAAGGCAACTAGTCACATGCCCGCCGATTTTTACTATGAAATTTGTACCCTTTAACTGCGAACTGCTAATTAAAGTTGTTTAGAATTAAATTTTACATACATGTGTATATTTTTAGGATAGATTTATAAGCCAGATGAGAGTCGGACTGTCCGCCGGGCACTTCAAAAAGGCTCGGACATCAAAATGTACAACGCTGCCTGTAGGTGCAACTTGGGACTTGCAACTATCAAGTCAATACGGCAGTCATTATATTTAGAAGTAGACACTGTTCAATAAAAATACGACTCTGAATGAGTTAATAGAGTTGGCGCTTGGAATTAGCAGTCAGTATGGAAACCAACAATCGATGAGTTTAACAATACAGTTGGTTTTGCCTTCTTGTCAGCAAAAATGAAATTGCATATGAATCAAACAGGGTATTGATGTCAGAACTTTTCTCTTTCATAAATGTAAAAACAGCATGTTTACCGCAAAGAAAATTCTGCCGGCTTTTCCATCTAAAATAAACTAGTTGAGGCAATAATCAACAGATCAATTATAAAGTAGATAAGCAAGTATAAAATAATAATAATAATAATAGTTGTAATAGTGAAAATGAAATTATTTACACTATATACATGATTTCTAATACAAATATAGCATAAAATATAGCATAAAATATAGATCCAAGAAACAATGCACCCCAAGATCTTTATCAAGGCGGCTCGGGTAAATACAGCATACAGTATATGGCAAATGCGACATATGTGGCATATGTGATAGAGGTGGTATAAATGGCGTATGTGGTATGTGAGTGCCGCCAAGGGAAAACCTGTCATCGGACTTTCAATTATATTTTGTGTACAGTTAGCCGTCTATGGAAAATCTATCCATTATGATAGATTTTTCCATAGACGGCTAACTGTAACTGAAAGTCCGATGACAGGTTTTCTCTTGGCGGCACTCATATGATCAATATAGTAGACATAATGTATATATGTGATATGTCGACCAAATTTGTATAAGCCCTAATCAAATTCGTATTATTACACGAAATTTGATTTTGATCTATCATTGATATTGTGACCATCGGTTGTGAGAGCAATTACGGATGTTAATCCAATTTAGCTCCGATGGTTCACTTGATTCGGGATTTATAACCCTTGTACACGTGATATGATGTCACGAAACTCTTAAACTGGGTCGGGGTTATCACTTAATAGATCAAACTTTAATTATTCGGGGGAGTAATTTATCATGTAACAATAAGATAAATGCAAGATAATAATAATAAATAATAATACAATAATGAATTAAGAATACAGTAAAAAAATATAACTAAACTACTAAACTAATACTACACGTGTGAGAATCCGATTCTTATTATAAACTCTATAACTAAGACATCGTAGTCTGAAGAAACTTTACCAAGGCGAAAACTCAGGCCTTAAATACCTTTAATTTACTAAGAACTACTACGCTATCTTTATCTCACCCTTATCTTCTCAGCAATCAGTCTTCGGACCCGTGTTGGATAGCCACCAAATATTATTCACAATTCTGCTCACAACTGCTCACAATTTGGGCTCAATATTTATTCACAGCCTTGGCCAACAACCGGGAGCCAACAATTACTTGCTTATACAACAATCCTTGGCCAACAATAATGGGTTTATCTCACATCATATGATTATTCTATCTAATGCTTATCGTGTGTTAGATAAACCGGAATTGATCTATATCATTAAGCCTCCATTCGCCACCCAGGTACCTCACAATATTCTTGTGGCTCAGATCATTTGGGCTTTAGTACTACCAAGTCACATCCTAGTCACGGGTTTAAATTTTAAACCGTGACAATATCTCATAATCTAGTGACTGGATTTCAATAATAATAGTACCATTCGAATAGTTTCAATAAGACAATTCGAATAGTACTAATATTATTGAAATCTAATTACTAGATCACAAGATATTGATGATAGATCAAATATAATGCTACGAATTCGATTTAGATTTATACGAATTTGGTCGACGTATTGCATATTAGATATAGCATAATGTACCCAGAGTAGCGTAGAAACTATAAATATACGTACGATTTCCTCTATCTCTACAATAAAGCACATAATAGATAGTAAACGACTCCTCTTGTGTTGCTCTCTAACGTTAATAGATAAGTAAAATACGATAAGTAATTAGTTGGCCAATCCCGTGATTCCAAATTAAAGGTTCGTGACGTAAATATAGAGCTCTATCTAATTTTCTCTTTCTCTCTAATTACTCGGATCAAGTCTTTCCACGCCCTGATCATAGCCTTCCCCTATTAAGTGCTTGGGTCAAAAAATCCCGACAATCAAAAAAAGTTTTCCTTGAGCAATTTTATTTTACTATAAAATCGCCTAAATCCTAACCCTCTCACCCTAACCAAGGCACTCACCCAACCCTAACCTAACTTAAATAAACTTAATAATTTTTTGTTGTCAGGACTGTCGAGATTTTGACCGGCTCCCTTATCCAATTCATATCGGCCCGGTACCAGTTTCCACTATTACACTTTATAATTACTTCTTCGATCACTGCTGTTAATTTAGTAGGCATTGATTTGTACCAAATTCAACAATTTGTTTTGGATAGACAAAATAATACATAGTTATCATTTTACCATATCAGTAGTTCATATCAGTGGATTTGATTTTTTTGTACATGAATTTTACTCTTAAGTGACGTTGAAAAGGTAATAAAAGAAGCACTTGTATCTGTAAGAAATTAAGGACGAATAAAACACGATTTGTTGAAAAAAGGCTTTTTTTAAATGGGTTACGATGGGTTGGATGCAAACTTTCAATAAACTGGTCTTTTAAACTCGTTTTTAGTCTATAAGTAAATAATTGAAGGTTACGTATCACTTTATAGAAAATTATTTCACAGACATCTCATTTCATAGACAAGTTTATTTAAAGAGAATTAATTATGGACAGTTTGTTTCATAGACAGTTCATTCACAGACAGTTCATCTCATAGACAACCTTTAACGGCAAATAACTCCTGATCTTCTGAACTGTTTTAAATGATTTGATTACCAAAAATGATCATCTCAATGTGACAATTCATAAGCCCAAAATCGTTAAAATCCAATTAAGGGGTCTAGAGATAATTGTTTTAGATATTTATTGTCCGAAGCGTAGCGAGGACTCTATAGTACAGCAATGGACATGATTTTGTGTTGGGTTCCAGTCACGTGCACACATGCTAGCCAATCATCTATAGAGGTCGACACGGATCAGCCCGATGTTTTTTCTTGGCTTCGGACATTAACGGTATCCGTTTTCCTAGTCTTAAATAAATATCAAATAACCTTAATTATCTTGAGGCCCCATGATTGAATTTTGGCTAGTTAGAATAGTCACATCGAGATGATCATTTTGGTAATCAAATCATTCAAAACAATTCAGAAGATCAGGAGCCATTTTGCTGCTAAAAGTTGTCTATAAAATGAAATGAGCTGTATATGAAATGAACTGCCTGTAAATTAATTGTCTTTAAAATAAACTTGTCTATGAAATGATTTTCTATAAAGTAACACGTAACCATTGTACTTTGTGAAAGGGTAGATTGTGGCTGGGGTTGAATTTTTTTCGCACATGGTAGATCATATTTAGTAAAATTGGTTGATGTAGCATTTTGAACATAGTCAATATAGTCAACATATGGTCAAAATAATCAACATAATCAGCATTGTGATTATAAAGTGAATTTATTACACGTATTTGTCACCGATATCATTAAAACCTCGAGTCAATCTCAATTCATTCATCATTGTGGCTGCGCCGCAATACTGAATAATATCTCGATTGATCCGTGAGCAATTGTATACTGTAGTTAATGTGTCTTGTATCTGAATTTTACAAAGAATAGATGATTTTATAACAAATTTCATTAAGTATTTATATTAAGGCAATTTCTTAAATAAAATCTGTTTCTTCAAGCTGGTTATATTTAGACTATTTAGCTGCAAACTGCTTCTACAAATCATTTTACTTTTTTACATTTGCATCGACTGATAGAACTACATTTTACTTGCATATGATAATGATTGATATATAATCATTCTATATCGGAAATTGCTTAACCTTAGAGAAGTTCAATCGCATCATATTATTTTCTAGAATCGCATGAACTTTGAATTCGATCCTATTTAGAAATTTTAATTTTTTAAAAAAAATTCTGGTGTTGGTTTTCAAACTTTCCAAATTATTTTGATTTGTTGGTTGCAATTTTATGTCTCCTCGTGAACTGCTATATTGTCTATTTTAACATAAAAGGAAATTTCTCTTCAAAATTAAAAAAAATTTTTATCAAACTTTGTGGTTTTCGGAATAAATTTACTTATTGATACTATCTAATTGGCCAATCAGAGTATAATGTAATGGATAATCAAAATTTACTGAAATATTTGCAATAATAATAATGATAATAATAATAATAATGATAATAATAATAATAATAATAATAATAATAATAATAATAATAATAATAATAATAATAATAATAATAATAATAATAATGATAATAATAATGATAATAATAATGATAATAATAATGATAATAATAATAATTATAGTAATAATAATAATAATAATAATAATAATAGTCAAAATGTTCTAGAACTATCTAAATAATATTTGACTGTCCCTGAATAGAGATCAGAGGTAGTCATATATCCACGTGAAATAAAAATTTGCGGAGTCGGGATACTGAGATAATCCAGGTGATTGACCATCAAGAGAAAATTATGCTATAAGTTCGAAGCCGAAAATATGCTGAATCTATATACTAATTACAATTAATTAGATGTATGGTGTCACATAGGAAAATTAAAATGTATATACTCTAAGTACAATATATTTAAAGCGTATATACAGTATAATGAATATGGCCTGTGATATGAAATTTCTTTCATATGTAACGTAGTAGCATAACTTTTTAGTTAGCGGCTTATCATTCGAATATGATACAGTAATTAGTTTGAACATAGTCGGATGCCAGATAATTTTATTTATTATACTATACGTTTCTATTATAAAAAGTGTTCACGCTAACTTGAATTATATTAGTTATCACTGCTATGAATTTTATAAACTTTAGTAGAAAGTGTAGTAGTAATTAAAACTTATTATATTGACACCGATTATTTAAAGTAGATGAATTTTTTAGTAGTGAGTATTATGCAGTTATTTATACCGCATATATTAGCATTTATTATATTCACTCATGAATGTGAGTGTGTGATACAGTTTACTTGACTGATGGCACGCAAATACTAACATATCATTACTGTCTTGCCTCTTTCAACCTGTTAAAAAAGTTTGATGTTGAAATTAAGGATCTGAGTTTTCCATAAGTGTAAATTGAATGTTGGCAAATTTTTTTTAATTGAAGCGTTGTGATGATAATCCAAGAATGCTTGAAATAATGTATAACATTAGACTAGTGTTAAATCGGAGGAGCTAGATGTAAAAGACAAAATTAAACTAAAAAAAAAGCGAAAAATTTTATTTTTGATATATTCAATTACTTTACATATCGCTACAGCACTAACAATCATTAATTCACATAGTATTATTCTCAATACATTTATTTCAGTTCATTCAAAATGAATCATATGCAGAGTTATGCAATGCTCATTTTGATAATATGCATATTCGAATTGAATATTGTTATGTTTCATATTGTTGCAAAGAAGAAAGAAAAAAAAAAAAAAAAAAAAAACTTTGCGCGAATATTGAGAAACACTATGAAATTTTTAAAGTACTATAATTTAATGAAATAAAATTTAATTGGAGCAAAACCAGCTATATACCAAGAAAAGATTCTCAATATACAATGAATTTCACCGTATATTATCATTATTTTAACTTATCATTATTACAGTAACCAAATTCAATACTTTTAAACAAATTCAGTAATGTGGTATGTGTATACGCACGAATGCACGCATAAAGTTGAGTGGACATGCATTACTTATCATTAAACTTTTATTGCTAACTATAATTCGTTATAAACAAATAAATTAATACGATAAATGTGAAGATTTTAAGAGATCCACATTTCAGACTTGTGTAAAATAATATAGATATAAATCAGTTTTTCTCTAATTTGTTCTTTCTATTCATGCTATAATCTTATCGCAACTTTTAGTTGATCATATGTTATTCACAATTGTATATATTTTTATATCCGACCCATTTCACCTTCACATGAATGAACAATATTAAAAAAAAAATTTCATTAAAACGACTTTCTAAACGTTCTTTATATTATTGAGGAGATCTCATGGGGGGACAATTGTGATAGATTGATCGAAGTACCAATTAAATTAAGATTAAATTAAAAATTAAATCGAATAATTTCTTGAATAAGTTCTTGTGATGAGACAGATTCACTGAAGATGAATATCGACTGCAAATTAAACAATCTCCCAGAGGACAAAAAAAACGTGTATACACATGCAAAGACGATCTTGGAAAAGACAAAATAAAAATAAAAAATAAAAAGGTTGCGTATAAACTTAAAAAAAAAAGATCGACTATTTCACATGAAATAAATGCATTACTATCATGTGAGACTGAGAAATCACTTAAACACGGGCATAAAAGTGGTATATTGTGATCCTAGTATAGCACATTGGCCTCCACTTTAGAAAATCTAATGCCGATTTTTTTTAATAATGTACATGCATTAAAGTCGTACAATGTAATTTACATCTTGGAAAAATTAAAATTATAATGAAACGATCGAACTGAAAAACAGTTATAATAAAGAAATTTTATTATTTATCATAATTATCAAGATCATTTCATTATTTATGATGTTTATGATTACTCTCATTGCTCTTATTGTTTCATATTGTTTCAAAACACATATATATGAAACAATAAGGATAAATGGGTATAATACAAGAGATAGCATTAATTTATTTACAAAATGTTGCGTTACATTAATCGCCGCGAAATCCGAAGATTAACATATAATTATGATAAAAAATTATTTGTTGGTCATAAATAATTTTTTATCTCCGAGAACGAGAATTGGGATGAACTGAGGACGAAAAAAAAAAAGCAAATAAAATTGAAAATTTTGAAATGAGTAAATGAAATGAGTAATTGTGTATGATTGTATAAGTAAATTTAAATTTAATGCATGTACCAATAAAATGTGCATACACTTAAGATTGCTTGAAGATTCTTCTTATCGTTAAACTTTAAATTTTAAAAGAATCATATTCTCTAATTTTTTCTTTTAAAAGAGAACTATTAAAGTAATTTGGATGTACTTCATTTTTAAATCCTGGTAATCTCAAATATGATTAATGAGTAAAGTGAGCCAAAATATTGCGGAAAATTCGTATCTACAGTGGATCTTGTTAATCATCGACCAGATGATATTCATAGTCTATAAATATCGATAACCCTTTTTTTCTTGAATTAGCAATGATTTTTAATAATTTGCGATGTACTGCACATTATATATAATATAACGATAATAAATATCACTACAATATTTAATTACACTATTTAATTACACTATCTTAATTACACTATCTTAATTACACTATATTACATTATATTTATATTTGTTTATTTCACAGATGCCAAGCACAAAAAAATGAGTGAAAGAAAAGAGATACATATAAAATATTATAAACATTATAAACATTATAAACATTATAAATATTATAAACATTATAAATATTATAAATATTATAAAAATATTGTAAGTATTATAAGTATTATAAGTATTATAAACTGAATAACCCTTTTTTTCAATTCCTGCGACCGGAAATTCCTAACTAAAAACATTAACTAGGCGATCTTTGTTTACTAGTTAATACATGATATGCACGTTCGTTATTGATACGTTTGATGTTGAATATTTGTATGGTATCTTTACAACAAAACTCCATGTGGAAAAGATTTTTTGTCCGGGTTCGGATAAATTATTTGCAGAAAACTATAAACCTATGCGTTTACATCATAATATCCTTTCATTATATAATCCAAATATTGATTAAACAAGCATGCGCCTGTAATTAAGGATCGAACGGAAATCATCAAATATAAAAGATTTACATCGCATTTTTCTTTTTCTTCTCTTATTTTCTTTTTAAGGCGTATTCTGATTATGTTTATGGTTTTACAAAAGCAACAAATAAAGCTACAGAATAAAGAAAGATTCACTAACACTATCGCATACATTATTAAACATATCTATACTTTGTTTAGGAAGGTGAGCGTGTTAGGATTTACTGAACGTATTTAGGTTTTGTTTAGAAAGTTAAGCATTTTAGGGATTTGCTTAGGAATTTTAACATGTTAGGATCTTTTTTTTCGAAAATTAGGAAAAATGGCTAATTCAATAATAATCAATATATGTAATAGAGTAGCCAAGCCCCCCTGACAAACGAATACAAATCACTTGTTGATCATGAAAAATCCTTTTTTTTTAAAAAAAAGTAGCTTAAAGATTTGAATTTTTTGGTGTTCAAATAAATAATTTTAATAAATTCAATATAATAACAATGATAATTCGAAATGAATCTTATGATTGTCACATTTACAACGAAAGAGAAGATCGTACATCGCATATATACAATAAAATTAGTCTTGCCATAATAAGAAATACTCGCCAAGGTTATAATCACGGCGGCTAATTCTGTTATGATTATGAAAAGGAAATTGATTTTCCTTTTTGTGTTAATTTAAAAAAAGCATTAACAGGTAAAAGAGTGGTTGTTTATGTAGTGAAACTTGAAAACATTTAGCACATAAACAAAGAAATTATTTTCTTACAACTTTGTCGATTAGATGTTAGATATAAAAAATTGCACAGTTGACACGTAATTAATCCTCGTGTATAAGTGTATAAGATGAGATCTGAATGAACGTGAGCAAATAAAAATCATGAAGATCAAATAGTGTAAGCGGTAACGGTAAAGAGAAACATATGAAGATTAGCTTGAGTAAATTGCATTATTATAAAACTGATTATATAATACAAATCCATTCAATAAATACTGTAATTACATTGGGTACCTGCAGGTTAAAAAACTATATAAATACTCACTTTGACATACTTTATCAACACGGTGTACGAACACTCAACAACTTTTTTGGTTGCTTCACCGCACAATATATTAAATTTCCGTATAAATTCGTCTCTTTTAGTTAAATAAATTTTCTGCTTTCGTTTTTTTTTTTAAACTTTAGTTTTATAAAAAAAAATTAAAAAAATTAAAAAATAAAAAAAAAAAACTTTTGTTTTTTAAAACAAAACTTTTTTAACATTTCTTAACGTATATCGACATGCAAACTCCTACCCTTCCTTCGATCAAACATCTTCTTCTTGATACTCCAATCAATGAAGTTCATGGTAAGTAATTTAAACGATTAATTTTCAAATATTTCTCTAATCGACAATCGACAATTCAATTAACATTCTCTTCGAATATTTCGTAGGTTCTTCATTTAACTTACCATACTCTCATTCTTCATCTCCTCTCACACCAATCTCTTCTTATCCTAGTTTCCCTTCCTTATCCCCACAATCAACCGATGCTCATCACCTAGCTGCGATCAATGCTCATAATAAAAATATGTCACTTTCTTCTAATAATATCAACATTAAATCATTACTTTCTCCTCCTGAATCACCAAATATGACACATAATTATCAACAATCTCCTCTTGAATCTTATGATAATCAACATACTCCGAAACAGGAGCTAAGATATTCACTCCAGCAGGTGTCTGGAGAACAATGCAGTTGTTGTGCAAGAACTTCCGATGATTACTCATTAACTTCTATGCAAATGAATTCATATAATAGTCAATATTCACAATCAATTCAACAACGTTATCCTTATTCTACTACTAATCCTCTCCCAATTTCATCATTTGATCGAAAACAAACTACTGGAACCACTCTTCCACGATTGAATGCATCGGTTTTTACAAATATCGCTTCATCAAAACATTTTCCTCAAAAGAGTATTAATAATCAACAAGCTTCTCAAAGTAACTCTTCATGTGGAAATCGTTATCAATGTCCTTATTGTTCAAAGAGATTTTCGCGCCCAAGTTCACTAAGAATTCATACTTATTCACATACTGGTGAAAAACCATTTGTATGCTCTGAACCAGGATGTGGTAGAAAATTCTCAGTACAAAGTAATATGCGTAGACATCTCAGAGTTCATAGATTAGGAAGACCAGTTAAGAGAACTCGATATGACGGTGAAGTTGAAGGTGTTAAAATGTTGAATCATGCAACAATTCTTAGAGGTTGTTATTAAAATAATTGGGACTTTTTAAAATATATTATCATCAAAAAAGAAAAAAAAAGAAACAATCTCACGAAGGACATTTGGAATTTCGCTTTCTTCGTTTTTTTTTTTTTTTTTTAGTATATGGGTGGGAACAAACGCGTATGTCTCGACACATATTACTTAAAAATTATTCGCTTAGGTTTTTTTTATTCAATCTGAATAACTATTCAAATAATATTTTCAAGCAAGGGCAACATTCATTTCGTGTTTAAAGGCTGTTTCCCTTAACAAACTTTCTTTAAACCTCTGTACATAATTTTTTCCATTTTTTCATAGATAAAAAAACCTTTTAATTATTGTAGGTTACATAGCAGGTTACGCATTTATTTTCAAATATAGAATAATAATACAACATCTTTTTTCATATGCATTTTATTTCCACCCCCTCCCTGCAATTATTTTTTTTCTTTCGTTTTTATTATGTTTTCAATTTTATAGAGATTTATGTTTGTTTAATTATGAAATATGGTTTTTATGCTGAATTAGGTTTTTCTCTGGCTTGATCTGACATACGTGATAAATTATTAACTTCATATTTAAAATTTAATTTGATATTATTAAATTAGATCTTTTTTTTCTTTTTTTTTTTTTCTTTTTTTTTTTTTTTTTTTTTTTTTTTTTTTTTTTTTTTCTTGTTGTATCGCGTAATTTTGTCTAAAAAAAAAAGCTTGAATAAAGGAAATTAAACGTTATAGCAAAATCGGATAAAATCGAACTTTTTTCTTTATCTACAACGTACATACGTACTTACCTACTTACTTACTTACTTACTTACGTATCTGCTTATTCATTAAATTGTCACTTTCTATCCATGCAACTTATAATTGAATAAAAATGATCCGTGGTTAGATCGTTACATTAATCGACGCGAAATTGACATTTAGGCAATTTTGAGTAACATGAAGATCATAACTTCTTAATATGAACATATATACGTGTATACATACTGATTTTACTCTACCACTATCGTACAATCGGCAATAGTTTTTTAGTACAACTTACTAATCTAAAAACGTAATCATGTATATATATATATTCTTTGTTCATGGATAGTCTTGTTTTGCTATTAAAAATCAGTGGAACATTCAACATTCAACAAAAAAAAAGTCATTATTACATTATTATTATCTTTAATGTGGGAGTATCCGCAAAATAATCTCCCCTTTAAATCTATATGTACATAGTACATTACATTGCTCATTTTTTTTAGAATACTCGGTATTCCAAATTGTAACAGACTATATAATAAGGAATAGGCTAGTACATTAGAATATGTGACATTTTCTATCTAAAATAAGCAAAGATTTCGATTTTTTTTTATATAGTTGAAGGTAATATAAGTACGCCGCATTCTTTATTTGTTCGTGATATTCCATCCAATTAGAAAGTTTTGAATCCTTGTTAACTAAAAATGAGAATAATATGCTCTTTGAAAACTTGAACTTTTTTAAGATCTTTTTTTCACACTTTTAATTTATGAAAATAGAACGTTATTGTTAAAAAAAAAGTAATAATTTTGTGTAATTTAGTGCGTTAAAACATGAGAAGATCTTGCACTTAAACTTTTTTTTTTTAATTTGTTAAAGTCACGGTAACACTTATTTAATTTCTTTAATAAAGAAATTAGAATACAAAATTCACGCCAAGAGATATTATAATTTGTTTTCTATAAACAATTCTCTTATCATAAATAAAATTTATTTAATTTTTTGTATACGTACAATATTATTATATCAGATATATATGTACGTAAATATTTACGTAAATCCAATAGTTATTTGAAAAAAAATTTAAATTAGGTTGACAGGGGTCTATATAAATGAATTTAATTGAATTAATCGAAAATGCTACGAACGTACATACGTACGTACGTATTAAAAATCATACCGATACATACATACTATCAAATCGTTATGCACATTGATTTAAATGATAAAAACAAATTACGTACATACGTACGTACGCACATATGTACTGTACATATGTACGCATCTATATATTTAAAAAAGATCTATTATGCAATGATTGTCTCGTTAATAAAGAAAACTGGCATTTCTACACCTGCTTTTGGTATTCATACCCTTGTATATGACGTATATTACATATGCATGTATTTACAATGATAGAACTAGGAATTGATAACATAGAAGTTCGCTTAGTTCAACTGCATAAGTATTAACACGTGAGCTGTCAATTTTATTGGTTTTTTTGCACAGAATATTGAATGAAAAAATTCTCTTGTTCGCTCGGACAGCAAAGTTTCCTTCTATACTTCAGACAAAATATCTATGATTTGGACAATTACGATAAAGATATAAGAAATTTGACCAAGGTAATATTATACATGTGACAAAATAGTTGATATACTTAATAATAGTAATTATATACATTTAATATTACAGTCTTATAAGGGAGAAAACTGGTATATTACTAGAATGTTATTCAAACGACCAAAATCATGCTATATTTTCGCATGATTTATACTTTAAGATGGTAACGATAAACTTAAAACAATAAATGTCTAATCATTACTGTCTTTCGGGTAACATTGCTGGAGAGAACCCAGAATTGGCATTATTGATTAAATATGTAAAATATTCTCAATTTGTCACAACACCCATATTCGCCCTAAAACTAGGTCTGAAACCTAATTAAAATTTGGATTTTTAAATAACTTACAATGACGTAATATGTTACCTCTGTTTAATTGTTTATAAGTCACATTACTGCTACATACGTATCAATTTTTTTTACGAATTAGAGAAATAAAAAATTTAGTTTATTGTTATTAATACTATATATATACTGTACTATAAAAATTTTTGCATGATACTTACATATTTCTGTTCTGATTTATTAAAAGATTAAATTGTACGTATTATAATTAAACTAAGTGCATTCTCGAAACTAATCATAAGCACGCATATAGGATATTTTATAGCAAAAGATAATGGGCCAAAAAAATTTTATTTTAACCAATTTTTTAAAGAATTATAGTAATAAGAATTTAATTTTTATAAAATTGCAAAATCAAAATTTTGTTCCATTGCCTTCTTTTGTTGTGGATTTCTATATAAAGAGCGATTTTATTAATATTATATATATATAAATTTAGAATATGTACTAGTTTAATTATAATAATTTTTTTTAAAAAATAAAGCTTTGTTTTATTTTTTCTATTAAATACACAAATAAAAAATAAGATTAATTAATATATTTATAACAATAAAAAGATATTCAATAAATACTATACCAATAAGTATATATATATATAAAAATATATATATATTTTTAGTATAATTTTTTTAATTTTTAAATTAAAATATCTTAACAACTATTTAATCAAATTTGCCAAAAATTATTTGAAGTTTTATGGAATAATATAAAAAAATTATTAATTTATTAAGATAGTTGCTAAAATATTTAAGTATTAATCTATAAGTAATTGACATAAATTATATGATTAGTAATTAATAAAATTGGTGATAATGATAGTATAGAACTTTACATAACATGTTTGAATTTGCTACTGTTAATTTCAACAAACAAAATACTCAATATTACTCTTAAAATGCCGGGTTTACTTACTTTAAATCTTCACT